AAAAAAAAAAAAAAAAAAAAGCTCGGAAGAAGAACACAAGCACAGAGCTGACGATTGAGCCAGAGAAGGCATCCTCAGACAAAACTGGCATGAACTGGGCAAATATGAATGAGCAGCTAGACCTAAATGATAAAAGTGAAATTATACATGCACTAAATTACTTATTATCTTATCTATCAGAGGGAAACCTAGAAGACATACAATCAACATTATTACCATTCATTAAACTGCTTTTTTCAAATGTACAGGATGAAGATACACCCCTGGATTATTTGGAAAAAAATACAAATAGCCCCTCTCTTATACCTGAATCCAACAATTCACCCTACGCAAATAAATTGAGGAAGCTCTATTTTCTTGAAAATTTGTTAGATACAGAAATTGAAGAAAAATTGATGAGGTTAAGAAAAAAGAAAAAACTGCCATGCTTATGCAGTCTAGTCCTTTAGGACCCAAAGTTAAACACCAAATATTTTTAAATAAATTAGAAACTGGCCAACCACAGGACGACATCCTGGCAAAGCTTGAGAGTGTAGAGGAAAGGCTGCAGAGAGCGTACAGAGTCCTCAAGAGGCGAAGAGGCATAAAGAGCAGGCACTTCAAACAAGCGAGGGATCAGAGAATCACTGAAAGATCAGAGCATCAAGAGGGATCAGAGCAGCACAAGAATTCTGCTGCAGATTCTCCTGTGACTGCATTAAAGTCAGTGCCAACTGCTAAACAACCCAATGAAGCACAATGGGAATATGGCAGCTGGGAGATTGACTTACCCCCCAAGCACAAAGACTTCAGTCACCCATCGCATTCATCCCCAGGTGATCAATTGGAACTTCAGCTAAACCAGCACCTACAATCCCTCATGTCCAACAATGACATGAGAAGGCTCATTTCTCATGTTATCTGGACTTTGAAAACGGACTGCTCTGAGCCCTATGTACAAATGGCTTGTGCCAAGCTCATCTCCAGAACAGGCCTCCTGATGAAGCTTCTCAGTGAGCAGCAGGAAGCAAAGGCGTCCAGGGCAGAATGGGATCCGGACCAATGGAAAAGTGAGAACTACATCAGTGAGAGCCCAGAAGCCCAGGGTGAACAGAAAGACCAGGAGTCACCTGAGGTGAGGACAACTGCTGAAACAGGAGACCCCAAATTTTCCATCATTTAGGATATGCCATTAAAGTGCCCAAGCAGGAAGACCAGAGGCTCCTAGTCCATATCTTGTCTTGCTCATGTAACTTTGGCCAAGACAGAGATCTCCCACTTTGCTCAGAGAATAAAGCAGACCTAACACACAAGATAAATTGTAGAAGAAAATGCTTAATAATAAGATTATATAACACATTAGATTTAGTATGTTCTTTATGAACCTGTAAGCTACTCATCTGGAAAAATGGGTTTTATTTTTTTTTTGTTTGCTTGTTTTTTGGGTTTTATTGTTTTGTTTTGGCAACTGGTGCCTTCTGGGGTCCAAATCCTTGCTGTTAACAACATCATGCTCTAACCAACTGAGCTAACCAGCCAGGCCAAGAACGGGGTTTTGAGTAGTTAGCTTTCCTCTCTTCTTTTTTTTGGTGGGTGGCCAGTACAGGGATCTGAACCCTTCACCATGGTGTTATAAGCACCATGCCCTCCCAAGTGAGCTACCCAGCCATCCCAGCTTTCATCCTATCTCTTTGTTTTATAAAAATGATTTTCATTGTTTTTTTTTTTTTTTTAGCTCACTAAATATGTTCCAGGATATGGCCATGACAACAAACTCATCTTGGCATATTCCGTGACTGTCATAGTGACAATTTTGATTATAATTTTCTGTCTCATTGAGGTAAGAACAACAATTGATTCAGGTTTCTAGAATACATCCTGTCTTTACAATAGAATCTGAACCCACAAAGTAAAAATCAAAGCTACTTTCCCACCTACTACTGTATGACATTCCTCTTCAGTCACTGAGACTGAGGTGTGCTTTGTTCTCTTATTGCAAATCATATTCCAGGGACTCTTACAGGAACCCCACTCCCAGGAGATCTCTGTGGAATTAAAACCAAAATAACAAGCCACTAAACTCTTTTGAAAAGTTTAAGAAGGCCAGAGTTGATACGATAGTGAAATTTTGCCAACTTAAAATATGTCAGCAATTTTATGTACACACCAACCACCGTTATTCTACCACTGAGTTCTTTCCCTGTTATTAAAATGACAAGAGATGTATAATCTTAACCCTCATGGAGCTGTCATCATCCTGGGGAGGAAGGAAGGGGTGAAAAGATAGCAGTGTTGTCCTGGAGGTTCATTAGATTGACACAGCATCCTTCTTCTCCAGTGTGTAAGGCATTGTCTAAATAGGCTCAGTTAAAGCCCTGTAGCCAAATCCTGCATTAGGCTACTCTAAGGCATGTCGTATTCACAGAAGCCTTCCTGGAGCTTGCCACTGTTTACCTTTGTTCAGTTACAAAATAGCTTATTTTCCCAGCAGGCAGCTCCTGGCATATGAAAAGAGTGATTTAAGAAGCTGACAGTCTTGACTCTACCAGCCCAACATCATTTACCTCATTTTCTGCCATCATGGCAGCCCTCCATTCCAGCCAAAGCAGCCCCCACCACACCCGTCACACCAGGCCCATTCCTACTTGTGTCTGTGCCTTTGCCCGTCTAAAATTCCCATATGTCACTCTGCCTGTGGAAGTCCTGTGAGTCTGTCAAAAGCCACCTCAAGTTCATCTTTCTTCACGAAGCCATCCCTGAATACTCCAGCGCTCCTGGGACTAGTCCCTCCATGAGATTTGTCACCATTTCTTGGAGTCCATAGTGAGGAATTCCCCCTCCCCTGAGAACTTAGAAATGTGGTAAACAATCTTTTAAAGATGGCTACCCAAGAGAGAAACACCAAGGTCCACACATAGTGGAGCAGAACAGAGGTTTAAGGTCCCTGGTCTACAGACATGAGCAGAACCACACTGGACGTATTAACGTATCTAAAGAGAAACATGTCCATCTACAGAGGGCTGGTCAGTAGTGAGAGCACAGACAAGGCGAGGAAGAGCCCAGCAAGGGCAGTGCCCACCTGACATTGTGCGTGAGTTGAGGTGGCACCTCAGGTGGCAGATGTGGGGTCGGCTTAGCAAGGCTGCGCCTGGGGGGATGGGTGAGTCCGGCCAGCTCAGCCCTTTCCATTAAACACTGGAGTCAGCTGGTTCCTTTTCTGATTCTGTTCTCACATTAGCCTTCAGGTTGTGCTTCAGTGTGCCGCGGAGGCCCCTCTCTCCAGAGGGGTGATTCACTGACTGCGTAGACACAGGTGTTCTGTCTGTGGAATAAAATATATTTCTCATTTTCAAGTTGTAATCTAGCCTTCTGATTTTCAGTCAGTCCTGTGATATCGATAAGGTGAGACTGCTCTGAGCGGAAGGAGGGAGTTCTCTCTTGGTGAGGACAGAGTCTGATTTCTGAGCCTAGGAGGCAGGGACCAGCTGGGGTCAGTTTGCAGAGGCCTCTGGGAAGATGGCATTGGCCATCAGCCCAGTCAGTAACTTCTGCATCTCCTGGTGGCATGTGGCCTTTTTTGTTCTTGAAATTTCTATCAACTCCTATATTGCTTTAATTTCTGTATAAAATGTAACCTTATATCTGTGTTTATTTACACATTGTCATTATTTCCTTTCCTCACTTAGATGGTAAGCTATGTGAAGACAGGGAGCACGCAGTGTTTCACCTGTAGTAGACAACAGAGGTGTGCAAAGGAAGAGAGAGATGAAGCATATGTCAGTTCCACAATGAGAAATAATGCAACCTAATATTTCTTTGAAGTAGTAAGCAGAGTCCAGCAATATACAGACCTGTGTGTTCCTAAGACTTTTGAAATGTCACCTTTTAATATTGTAATCAGTGGGAGAAAATGAATAAATGCTAACAGAACACCTAACTATTTAAGGAGCAGTAACAGCAGACCCCTATTCTCACCTTAAACATATTTCAGTAAATGTAAAAAAAAAAAAAAAGTAAAAATATTAGAAGAAAATAGAAGCAGTTTTTATAATCTTGCAGTGGAGAAGAGCTTTCTAAGCCTGTATCACAGCAGAAGCCTTTGCTAGATTTGCCCGCCTTGTCTGCGACACCACCAGCAAACTCAGCAGTTAATATGCCGAGCCCAGGACAAAGAGTTTTCCATGTATCATATGATTTAATCCTCACGACGGTCCTGTGAGGAGGAGATTATCATCCCACTCTAGAGAGGAAGGACATCAATTTAAGGCCACCATTGCAAAACCAAAAGCAGAACCCAGGTTCCCCTGACTGCAAAGCCTGCGCACCTCACTGCCACTCTGTTTTGCCTCCTTAAAGACAAAAAAGAAACACTGGGAAATATTTGAAACATGGAAGTACAATGAAAACCAATGGAAGGATTAATATATTTAATATAAAGAGTTTTATAAACCAGCAAGAAAAAGACAGTCTAGTGGAGAAAGGGCCAAAGGCTGTGAAGAGTAGGGAATTCATCGTCTGTGCTGTCGCATCTGCGGCCCTAGCCTGTGGCTTACGGGGTACGAATCTTATTAGAGGCCTTTGTCACTTCATGGAATAGTCTCTGATATTTGTTTTTGTACTTTTCTAGGATTATATTATTTATATTTTTCAATCCATCTGGAATTTGTTTAATTTCTTGGTTTCTGGTGTGGTTTTAGGTAGAGAATCTAACTTAATTTTCCCTTCATGAATATTCAATTGCTTTAAGGCAGTTTTTAATTGTATGGTCCATTCTTTCTTTAGTGATCTAAAACACCATCTTTACCTGGACTCCTCTCTTTTGATCCAGTTGTCTTTTCCTGTGCCAGTACCAGGATCACACTACATAATTCCAGTTGCGTTATAACATATTTTGAGGTATATGTTTGGTGGGGCAAGCTCGTGCTCTTTGGTCTTTTCATACATTTCACAGCTATTCTTGCCCATTTTCACTACCAAATATCAGCTGGTTAAATTTTGTAAAAAACTGTCTTGGGATTTGAATAGGATTGCATTGACTTTGTAGATTGATTTGAGAATTGACATCTTTAGGATACAGAAGATAGTAAATAAGGGGCTGCGCCGCTGGAGCCCCACGGAGCCGCCACCGCCGGGGACGGAGCCCAGGGACGAAGAACAAGAAACACAAGAAGAGGAACATTTGATGGAAGAAAAGAAAAAGAAAAGCAGGAAGAAAAGAAAAAGAAGGAAGGGGCTCAGAAAAAAGCTGCTGATCAAAAAACTAAAGTCACCAGAAACCCAACTCCTCCACAGGAGTTGGAGGCCCAACACGGGGCCGGAGCAGCGTCTGTGAAGCACCGGGGCTCCGCTGAGACCGCCGTGCCGCTTCCTCTTCGCTGCAGCTTCAGCCGCTGCCACCGCCACCAGAGGAGCAGCCATCTATTGTCTTTCTCCGTGACGAAAGTGCGGAGCTGCTCCAGCTTGGCCCGCAGGGGAGCCCTGGGAGCTGCAGGGAAGTTCCGTGGTGGTCTGTGAAACCCTGCCACAATGAATAAACATCAAAGAAAAGACACCAGAAATATGAAAAATCAAGGAAGTACACCACCCAAAGATAACAAATCTCAAGCTCTAGACCCTATAGAACAAGAAGCCCTTGAAATGACTGACAAGGAAGTTCGAGTGATAATTCTAAGGAAACTGAATGAGATACAAGAAAACTCAGCTAGACATCATGAGGAAACGAGGAAAACTATACAGGACCTGAAAGAGGAAATGTACAAGGAAATCAATGCCCTGAAAAAAAAATGTAGCAGAACTTGCCAAACTGAAGAAGTTACTCAGCAAAATAAAAAACACAGTGGAGACTTTAACCAGCAGGATTGTCGAAGTTGAAGAGAGGACCTCTGAACTTGAAGATGGGCTGTTTGAAATAAAACAAGCAGACAAAAAAAAAAAAAAAAAAAAAAAAAAAAAAAAAAAAAAAAAAAA